TATGTGAAAGTCATAAAATATGTAAATATCAAATATGTTTACAATAAAATGGACAAGCCATATTGGCCTGACTGTGGATTATATAAAAAAAAAAAAGATAATTTATAGATAATAATGTTAATAATTAAAATGATCTTTACTTGAATTATTAATAAAGTAATAGATCACTTTTAAAATTGCACTTAGAGTTAATATTAACTTAGACAAGTAAGTTAATCAAAAAATTTGACTTTAGCACATATAACAATATATGGTTTACTAAAAGTTTAATAAAGCATATATAATTAATTTAATAAATAATTAAAATACAAAAAAAAAAAAAGATAATTATAAACCAAAGATCAAATAATACAATTAATGTATCTGCATAATTATTTTTAAACATTTAATCTATATGTTTAATCTCAATTTTCAAGTTTTTAATTATATATTTGGAAATCAATGCTTTTGAAAATATTTTTATATAATTTTATTATTGACAAAAAATCCTTCTTTTTTATTAATTGTTATATGCATTAAAATAAGTATTAATCAAAAATATTTAAAACGAAGATTATGGATTTATAAAAGATTCAAGTTTAAAGTGTTTTTGAACTTATAGATACTGTAAATCCGTCTATAATAATATTGATTTAAGAATCATGTGACCTTTCTATAAGAAATCAATGAAATTTCAATCTTTTGCTTAAAAGTTATATATGAAATTTCAATCTTTTGCTTAAAAGTTATATATTGGAATTAAAATTGGCATTAAATATTGTAAGTGTTCTTAACAAAGATACATCCTTCATAAAAGCTCAAAGTATACTTTGAATCTTTTATAAATTAATGATTTTTGCTTTCAAATATTTTAATTGATGTTTATTATTAATCATTTAATGATCTGTAAAAGAGAAAATTTTTTATCAATAAGAAAATATTCTAAAAAAAATATAAGAATAAAGAACTCAAAAATTTTCAAAGTTGAAATCTACAATAAGAAACATGGTACGTGAACTAAAACTTTTGAAAGCAACTGTATAAAATCCAAATCTTCAAGAGTATGAAGGATAAAATTTAGGTCTGAGTGAAAACAGATTTTCATTTTTAGTCTTAAGCGATTTTTATTTTGATGTTTGCATTCTAGGCGATTTCTGGTTTTGTTTGATGTTGACCAATTTTTTCGAAAGGGGCCACATTCGTTTTCCCCGACATGATTAATTTTGCTAGACTGGACAACAATCATTAAAAAAAAATGAAGACCTTCAGTAATAATAATAATGATGATAGATATGACAAGTTTTATTAATTATCTGGTGATTTAAGTAATCATTTCTATTCGAGAATTATTTTTTCATGTTTGATAGATGTGACAATAGAAAAAAAAAAACTTAATAACATAATGAGACATGATTATAAAATAAGCTAAGACAAGTTTTACGTCATGAGATTTTTTGTAATAAGAAAAAAAAAATTATAAATACACCATCAAGGAATTTCCTTTTTTCTTTCTTGCGTATCAAAGAGGAACGATTACCTTGATATATTTAACAAAATATATAGAGAAGAGGGAGCCGAAATGAATCATTCATTGTCCTGATCTATAAGAGAAGAGAAAATACATCAAGAGTTCTAGTTTCCACCGGCTCGATATGCGAAAAGTCCAGCTCGTGCCTCCCCGGCTGCACCCACACCCTTGACAAACCCTTCTTGATTTTCGTTCGACAATTCTTCCAACGTTTTGCGTTTTGTCTCCGGAATGAGGAAAGTGAGAAAGAAGCCGATCAACATGAAGGAGGAGAGGATAACTAGTAGAATGCCTATGCCGTTGTTTGGACCGTTCAAGTCCTTTATTTTGGAAAATCCTACTTGAGCTACGATAGCGCCTATTTTTCCGGATGCTGCGCTGATACCGTGACCGGTGGATCGATATCTTGTGGGGAAAACTTCTCCCGGGAGAACGAAAGTAGTTGTGTTGGGTCCGAAATTTGTGAAGAACTATAATTTTGCACAGGGAAAAAAAAAAAAAAAAGGCAAATTTTTTAGGATGGAAGAAAAAAATCCGAGTTCATTCCACCGTCCAGTTATTGATCACATTAATTACCTGAGAAAGGGTGAATATAACAATGAAAAGAACCGTGGATGCATTCTTAATAGGTGTAAAACCGAACCCCATAATGAGATATAAGCAGAAGAGAGCAATGAAGCCCATCTTCTGGATAGGTATCCTCCCCCATGAGTCGATCGTGAAAACGGAAACCCAATAGCCAGGAACGGTGCCCAGTAATGCAATGATGATGTTACCAACGGAGATGTTAAATAGAGTTTGATATGGGTCGCCAGCTCCGTAACCGATGCTATGCAGGATGATGGAATTGTTCAAACCGATTCCGTAGAAGGCGATATCAAGGAAAAACCAACATAACGATGTTCCAAGCAAAACTTTTCCATTTTCCCATTTTCCGAAATAATTCCAGAAATCCGACCACGTGCCTTTTGGAGCATCAACTTTTATGACTATAGCCTCGGCATCTCTATTCTTGTAGGTTCCGGTGCTCAACACGCTGGTGATGTCCTGGGCAGCTTGATCAATATTGCGTTCAATATCCATTGTGAATCGAGGAGTCTCGGGAATGGTGAGGCGGAAGTAGAGGGCGACAACTCCGGGAATTGCACCCATTCCCAGAAGTATTCTCCAGGCATAATCTATGTTTTGGGGATCACTATCAATGGGGCCCTTCAATGCGACCACGGCAATTGTGGCAACGATGGCGGCCGTCAGAATACCAAAACCTTGCATGGCGAAGACTGTGGCCATCATAGCACCTCTTCTTTTTGTGGTGGCGAACTCACTCGTGATGACTTTGAGTGAAAGGGAAATAAATGTTTAATGGTGAGTAATTTTAAAGTAAATCATGTTCAAAACATGTGCGAAGATCCACATTCCCTTGTCGAAAGTAATAAACCAATAAACGAACAAACAATGGATTCTTATTATTCTTACTTGCAGAAAGAGGATAGTCTCCTCCGATACCAAGACCCATGATAAATCTCCAGAAGATGAGACAGCCTTGAATGGTGACAGCCCTTCCATCAGAAGAAAGAGCCGAGGCGACCGTGCCAACAACTATGATCATCAACTCGACACCATAAATCTGATAAAAATGGATTTTGGTTATGCGAACTTTCAACCAAAAAAAGATCATCGAATATTTTGGGAACAAAAAGAAAACTTACCCTCTTACGACCTATCATATCGGCAATGATACCGAACCCGAACTGACCGATAACATTACCCACCGATGCACTCACTTTTATGGACAAATCAATGTTCGACGGAGGGCCCGAACCCTTTAGTGAATTGAAATAGACATATCCCAACATAACGGACGCAATGTTAATCGCGAACAAGTCATAGGCATCCGTGAAGAAACCTACACCGGCCACGAGACAAGTTCGAACGTGAAACCATCCGAACTCTGCGTTATCGATTTGTTCGAGGGCCTCTTTTCGCTTTTTATCATAGTCGGGTAGCTCGATTTGTTCCTCGATCGCTCGCTGCTCTTTGATGATAGTGGTTTGACCCTTCGTCTCGGCAGACATATTGTGAATGATTATCTACAGTATCTATCTGGTGGTGGTGAGAATGACTTTCTGAGGGGAAGCACTTCTGTTGAATTCAATTGTGGGTGGTGATGATGATGATTATGATGATGAAGAAATAGTTGAGTGATAACAGAATCGATGCTAGTCGATTCCAACAAAGGTTTGTCTGAACCTCTTCGTTTCGTGCCGTGAAAGTAAGGTTCAGAAAAAACTTTGATCAAAACCTGTTGTTTATATACAGAAAATTGTTCTGTGATTAAGACAATCATTTTATACATAAATATACAGTATACAGTATGCATACAAAATAAAATGGTATGGATTTTAAATTAATAAGAAGACTTCTTATTATGTTACGTAAATCCGATTCTATCCAGTCAAAATAGCTCGTGTTTCAAGGGTGACACCGAGGCAATGGCGATCGGAATCACAGTTTGAATTACTAATTCCTTAAAAAAAAAAAAGGATTCAACGCTTTGAAGCGGTGAATCTGAAGACGAGCCGGAAATACGAGACAAGATGACGATGACGGGGAGAGAGAGAGAGAGCGTCGAAACCATCCATCATTCACGCCTATAGAAAGATTCTTTTCTTTTTCTTTTTCTTTTTTTTTTTTTGTTCGCATTAACAAGTAGAGAGCGAGCATCAAAATTCTTTAAAGTGACGGAAGGGAGGGATTTGAATAATCAAATATAAAAAAAAGTTGACTATTATCTCGGATTTTCTTTTACATCGCACTAGCTCATCTCAAGCCAACTTTGGTTAGGGTTGAATTATTCTAACAATATAGAGAAAGCATGTGCCAACAATACTGCGAGGCGTCAATATGTGTGCATCATTAAAGAATTCTTTGTGATTTCTTGGAGAGCTTATGTATGCGTATATCGATTACATTTGATGTCGCAAGTTTCACAAAGATTCTTCGTGCCACGTTTCCTCACGTTCCTCGTAACGATGTCTTTGAAAAACACGTACACACACACCAACACACACATGTAAACTTGATCATGGAAAGTCAAAGGCACACCATTTGTATTTTACGTCACTTGTTTCCTTTCACCGGAAAAATGAGGAAAATGAGAACAAAAGAATAAATAAAATAAAAAAATGCTTAGATCTCGGAGCAAGGTTTAACCGCCTGGTGAAGGGCAAAGAGGAATACCAATGAAATCATCACACTGTTGATTGACATCAAATGAATCATATCAACGGTCCAATAAGCTCTTCCGAGGAAAATGCCACGCGACCTCACACCACAAACAAAAAAAAAGAATTATGAAAAAAAGCAATTGATCGTCGTCGTCGATGCACAATCATAGTAATCACAGTGTACAATGCATGTATTTTTAATTTTCAGAGAAAAAGAGAAAAAAAGTTTCGCATGAGAAGGAAATGCCTTGATGTTTCGTGCGACTTCCGAAAGTTTTAAGGCGTGTGGTAATCATGCATAGCATACATGCATACATGGAACAACATATGACCACCACCAGTTCAGTTCCGTCGGTTAGAGTCTCTGGTGAGCCGGGGGTTAAACATTTTTGGTTCTGATTTAACGGCGTTGGCCCGAGCGTACCCTGAGGAAATTTGACGGAACAAAATGATTGGTGAGAGAGGATCGAGGCTTAGGTGGAACGGCGGAATTCCAAGAATATGTCGGTTGAAAGTTTAATCCTTCACATTTAAGTGATGCGCAGGTTAACCCGAACCATACGCCGTGCCGTCGTTCGCCAGCGTAATGACAGCTTAGATGTGAGAAAGGAGAAAGAAAATTCGTTCGGTACGATCATCTTGCGAAGGCGCTCACATGGCAGTAGGATATATTATCGAAACCAGGGCAGGGATTCCTAAATAAATTATCCAATCCACCTTTAGCGGTGGACACGTTAACCCCTCTTCGGTTCGCGTCCTAACCTCCTCTCGATTTGAGGTGACAAATCTGTGTCACAAATGTATTCTTATTTGACAAATTAACATTAGCAAACCTGTTGAAGACTTGTGGGATGTGATTTCCTTACCTAATCTGGAGTTACCTATTACGAAGAATTTAAAATTCGAGGGTCTGCTGAACATGTTTACAGAACCAATTTGCGGTTAGATGGAAGATTCCGGGAGGAAAATCACTACCACTAATGAACAGGAGTAATGATGGAAAAAAAAAAAGGGCAAATACAAATAGATGATCAAGTGAGATTTCCAAAATTGTAAAGTAAATTTTTAATTTCACTCATTATCAGAAAGGGGGGACTACAGTATAAACACGATTGTTAAATTTAATCTAGTCACTTTCCAAATATAACTCGCACGCGAGCTTCCATAAACTTCAATAACAAAGAACCAAAGAATTATTTCAACATTTATTTGGCGAAGGGGGGGGAGGGGGGTTTAGTTTTTCTCCTCCGCAAATTTCAATACCATAAATAGTTATGAATGAGATTTTCAAAAAAAAAAAAAAAAAGGTGAGAAAAGAATGTTTGACTTGGCGGACAATATTGTATTGCACGAGGGGAAGTCGGTGCGTACTCGGAATGTTGCGAAGGAAGGAAAACCCGTTTCACAAACGGCTGACTAAAACAAAATCACGGAAAGAGACAGGTCTTCGTGAATTATTAATTTACAGTATTAAACGACAATGCATTTGGAAACCTTATCATCTCATCTCGGTCAAGTAATTCACTCCCCTCTACATTGAATGATGATCCTCTTTGAACCAAGCTTTCAAATTAAAGTATTGAAACACAAACACAAACGGGTTCATCACCGGAACCAGTGTCGTACCATATGCACATTGCGCACAAAAAAAAAAAAAAAAAAAAAAAAAAATGTATGAATGAATGGTCACGCCATGCCAAGAGGTTTAGACGAGATGGCGAAAAAAAAGAAAAGAGAAGAACCCGATTGCCAACAGTTAGTTATCGTAAAACAGATTCATTCGCCAAATTTTCAAAATGTTTATCCGACGATAATTTTTCAATCACATTTTGTCAATCCGTCAACCGCATATGTGTATAATTTGCACCATATTTGCATTACGAATTTTTTTATCATGCCACTGAAGAGGAGATCACACGACACATGGACATCGAAATGTCCAATTTTATTATTCGCCAACTTTTAGTATGGTACATGGATCTTCCGTGAAATTCAGAATGCGGGGAAGTTGACTGATCATTTACAGTATTGTCTTGTGTAATTTTTTACGTATTCTCGCTTCTTTCGCGACCAATCAAAGTTGGTCGAAATAATCTTCATCTTTGATCGATTATCAAGGGAAATTGAATTGTCGTCGCAAAACTTTATTTCAATCATGCTATTGTTAATAATTGCATTTGTCATATTTTGTGCGCACGTCGTAGTATAAAACTGTGCGTGGTAAACTAATGTGCAATGCACAAACACACGCCTTCTTTTTTCGTTCAGCCCTCACGATCCTAATAAGGTGAATTTGATATTTGTTTCCATATAAAATTCCGTGCGCCGTTGTTTAACATCAGGGACCCTTGTTATCCTGTGATCGGTTACCTAACAGTGGTTAGGCAATTACCATATACTGTACTGTGTATGTTGTTGTTGTGTCTATTTATTGTATTGTATACATTAAACATATTTTTTTATTCGCGTTTAATGTTACGACAGCAATCAACCGAACGCTTTGCTTTTCATTTCACAGCGACCACAACTTACTAAAAACTTTCCGGTAACCACCACGTTGTTCACCAACTCGTGCTTTGCTTTTTTTTTTTTTTTTTTTTTTTTTTTTTTTTTGGAAGAGGAGTAAATAGGGAGAACCGCGATTCACGTGTTGATCGTGCTATCGTTAAAATAGTGAGAGGTATGGGTCACAATTCGAGGTCGCCGCTATCACACTTGTTATTGTAATCGTTGATCCAAATTGTGTTGAATTCGATTGTTCAACCTTGTGCGCTTTGACATTTTCGAGGACAGGGAAAACCAAAATGGTCTAAAAAAAAAAAAAGACATACAATTTTCAGCAATGACCTTCATCGAGGTATTGATTATGCCGTATAAAAGGTAATGATGAACACTCCTTATAGTAGTAGCCTGACGTTACATAACTTAATTAAACTGGTCAACATTGTTTGGTGCTTGAAGCTTGGAGATGTTACAATTTGATAGAATACCGTGCTAATTAAGTATTACTTGAAAATGATTAATATGTAGGAAACGCGGTAATTCGTTAAATTTTGATGATGATTACACTTGATTTCAAAAAAAAGTTATCAGAGAAACCTGTGTGCATTTCGGGCTCATTCAATTGATTTCTTAACGCGTTAGATCACTGGGCACTAATATGCGAGATATATGAACAATAAATTATCGAAAAATGTGATGTGTTGTAATAACTAAATATATGTTTACAATGCAAGTGACAAAAAATGGTTCCATGATGTTATTTATATTTGGTTATATTTTGTTACAAAATCTCTTTGTTTAGAGGAAAAAAAAAAGAAGAAGAAGAAGAAACTCGCATCCAAATAAACTCACATTAAATCCGGTTCGTGAGAAATACGTGTGAAATTTACTACATTTAACGAGTCGGTTGTCACGAACTCTTGGCAAACCCGGCTTGTGCTCACTAATTTTTACGTGCTCTAAACAACCCCGCATGCATGTAACGCAAACAGAAAACACAACGCGAAAACAGACTCTCGTGTTATTCGATAAGTCTCACTTCTCACGAAGAACTTTCTTCATTTTTTTTTTTTTCCTCTTTAATATCACAAACAAATATTTACTTCCAACAGTTGATTGTTTATGAGTCGCCCGATGCACTATGCAATTAAGATGTCGTGGATTGAATGAAGCGAAAAATTTTCATGTTTGAAGTCATCGGAAAACTGTGCGTTTCAACAAGAGTTACACATGCTCCGCGAATATATCACCACAAGATCCTCCCTTGCATATCACGTGAATGTCAAATTAAAATTTCGAAACTGGCAGCATGCACCCAGGCAAGATGCGATTGGCCAAATGCGTTTTCTGTGCTTACTTCAACTGGCCAAAACCTGTTCATTCAAAATTAAATTATATCTTTCCGCACCGTACAGGGGTAATGTTTGTATTTCATGCACAGTATATTTGTCCTCTCAATTAAGGCCCGAAGAATAATTGTGAGATTCCTTTTTTTTTTTGATAATACTTCAAATGAGCAATCGTTTGGTCATTGTGTAAAATGAGAGCGTTATGTTTAATTAATCAAATATACAGTATATATACTGTACGTAATTATTTATTTATTTCAAGTATAACTAGTATCACATACAATATTTATCTGGTGGGATTATCAAATTTAAAAATTGAATTAAATAAATTGATTTTAACCAAGTTAATGCAATTATTTATTTATTTAAAATTTTGAAAGCATCTAGTGTAAATCTATTATCAAATTAAAAATCGAATCAAATAAATTGAGGCTAAACTAGTTAGTTAGCGCAATTATTTATTTTATTTAAAATTTTGAAAACATCTAGTATAAATCTATTCAAGTTAGTTAGCGCAATTATTTATTTTATTTAAAATTTTGAAAACATCTAGTATGAATTTATAATATACAGCTTTATCAAATATAACTAATACCATATACAATATTTTGCTTACTATATTTATCTAGTGAAATGGTTAAATTAAAAATTGGATCAAGTAAATTGATGTTAAATAAGTTAATGCAATTATTTATTTGTAATTAAAATCAAACAATTAAAATATCAAACAAAATCAATTGTCATATAATATTATTTATAAAAATATTTTAGAAAAAATCAATTTCATCAAACTATATTTAAAAATGTATTTTTCAAATATTATATAAAATATTGAAATTAACAAGAATCTTGTTATGATGAATCAGTTCATTTACTGTATATGCAGAGTTTTAACAAACCTTGATATATTATTTATTACTTATTCTTTAATGTATACATATTTATATAACTTGTTTTGATATTTAGTCAGAAATAATTGTAAAATCAGGATACCTTACTGTTTGGTTCTTAAAAACTTTTGATATCTTTTTGAGCTTTGCAGACTTTGAGTTTTTTTTAATTTATTAATAGAAACTATTATTATAAAGTTTTTTCTAATATTTAGAAAAGTGTAAATTGTTATTGATCTGATTAAAAATTTGGAAATTTGATATTAGACTCTTCTAAAATTATTATAAATCAATTTATTAATATATTATTTCTTCTGATAAAAATAAAACTTAGAAATTCAGATATATTTTTTTTAAACTTTTTTAGTTTTTAAAAAAGTTATATAAAGTGTAATTAAATGTTATATTTACTATTTTATATTTAACTATATAATATTTTAAGCTGACTTCTTTCAAAGAAATTATCAAAAAAAAAAAAAAAAATTTTTTTAAAACAAAAAATCAGTAAAAAAGTTTTTTAATATTATTAAATTATATATTATATATATATTATATTAATTTGTTTTTTTATAAATAGAAAAAAATAGAAAATATTATTGTTACATCTTTGCAACTTAAAAAAAAAAATATTTATCAAATTGTATATAATATAAAATTTAAAAATTTAAAAACTATTTTAATAGAACAAGCAATTTCAATTATTATTGATAAATTAATTAATGATTATAAATATACAAATATTTTGTTTAGATTTAAAAATTTTACAAATACTAATTAAAATTATATTAGTTGATAGGTAAATTATTATTGAATTTAATTAAATTTAACAATAAAAATATTAACAAATTCTTTTTAATTACTATCACTTGATTTATTACTATTTTAGTAATAAAGTGATAATTAAAAATTTGACAATAAATTATTAATAAAATATTAAAAAAATATTTGATAATATAAAGAATAATTTGTAAATAATTTACAAAAAATTTATTAACAATTTAATAAATGTTTATTCCAAAACTATTTATTAACTATTCTATAGAAATTTTACAATAATTTATTAATACTTTATTAAAAATTCATTAATAATTCTATAAAAAATAATTAGCAATTTATTAATAATTTATTAAATATTTTATTATACTTTTAATAAAAATTTATTAAATATTTTATTATATATTTAATAAAAATTTATTAACTATTCATTAACTATTTAACAAAAATTCATAAAACTTTACAAAAAATCATTTATATTTATAAATTATTATTATTATAATTTTTATTATTATTATTTATCCATTATCAAGTTAATTATATATATTTTATTAAATATAATATAGATTATATTATTTATAATATTACTAAAGCTAAAATAATAATTAACTTACTCATCTTAGTTTATTTTCAAACTTTAAATACAACTTTGGAAATGATTTGTTATTCCATTTATAGTTTGAATTAATACCTTTTTACTATAAATATTATTACCTATAGCTCACTACTACAAATAACTGATCAAAGTTCTGATTAAACCTAAAATCCAACTATTTCATATCACTTTTTACTTTTATTATTATTATTATAGTTAAACCTTTTCCTAGGCATTTTTATTTTATTTTATTTTTTTTTATCTTTTAAACTTCTTGTTTTTCTTATTAAATAGGGCTTTGTGAAACTTTTTATTTTGTTCTTTCAAAGAATTCCTTGAGCTTTTTTTTATTTTATTACTTGTTCATATTATTTATTTTACACTTCATTATTAAAGTAGTTCAAAACCTTTTTTTGATCAAAAAGTTTCTATTTTTTAACTATTGTTCCTATCTTTTTTTTTCTTTATTCTAGTTTTTCAATATCTATTAATAGATTTTTTGGATCAATTTTAAGAAAAGAATACTAAATCTTGACTATTTTTTTATATTCTTCTTATGAGCTTTGTTATTAGACGTAAATAAATTTTGTTTATTTTAAAAAGTTTTACTAAGTAAGTATTTTATTATATTATAATATCAGTGATCTTTTTGTCTGATAGCTCTATTTTGATAAAGATTATTCTTGTTATTTTATTACTATTGGAGTTATTCATATACTATATTCTTTAAATTGATATTAATGTATTTGTTTTTTTTTATATATTCTCTTATTCTAATTTTATTTTTTTAATAGTTATATATATATTTAGATTCTTAATTTCATTATATCTCTTAAGATACTTTTTTGACTAAAATCTGCTTATTTTTTAATCAATATCTATTAAATTGATATAGAGTATTCCTTCACTTTCTTCAGATATTAACTTCTTGAAAAAAATTTTTTATTATTACATTGATTTGATTTTTTAAATTATATGCTATTTTTTTTTATGCTAGAGTTTAATTATTGAATTCTAAAATTTTCTTTTTTGTAGTTATTTCTTTTATATACTTTAAAAGATTCTTTTTTTCATTAGCATAGAAAGTTATTTATTAATTTTATTCAAAAATTTTATATATAAAGATTTTATTGATTTCTTAATAGTTTTAGTAGATTACTTATATATACAAGTATTTCTGCTTTAATATTTTCTATAATATTAATTATTATAGTATTAATTTTATATGTTCTCTTTTACTTATATAATAGAAATTACTTATTACTACTTATCAATTTTTGATAGAATAGATATTAAATTCAGCAATACTTGAATTTTGTATCTTTTCTTGAATTTCCTTTATTATTAAATCTTTTACTTTATTTATATTACCTTATTTTCTATTGTTTGTTCATTTTCTAAGTTCATAATAATTTTCATAGATTAACTATTATTTTGCTTTTTCTTATTATCATTTTCTTTAATAATGTTTAAGTATTTATTCTCTAGAAACTGTTATTATAAATTTTCTTTTCTTACTTATCTTATTGTCATAAATATATAATATGCTAAATTAGATTGTATTTTTTATAAAAAATTGTTCTATTTATTTCTAATATTCTAATAATTATACAATACTATCTATAATTATAAATATTTCTGGTAAGAGTATTTGACTATGATTAATAATTTTTTTTTCTATTAAAATAACTATTGTATTGCTC